GTATTAATTAAAACTAAATTAAAATTAAATGCTCATCATAGTGCAACTCTAGAATCCAGTTAATTTTAGCACTATTTTTGCAGCTGCCCAACAAGTGACTTTCCCACACTTTCGGGAGAATTCTTTAGAAGTCTCCCACCCTCTGGCAAGTGGAAAATATGTACTACAAATGCTCAAGAATGCTTGTTTGTGTATGCAGAGATACATATCAAATACGCCCCCATTTGCTGGGTTAAGTGAGGCGAATAATTCATGTCAATATCAAAACTCATTTACCTGTGGTTGCCTCAGTCTTTCATCAAAAACCTTGTGAGGCAAAACCTACTGAGAAGTAGATCAAAAGTGGGAAACTCGAGGCAGGGGGACGAGAGCAGGAGCATAGCATTTGTGTGAAGGCCCAATTGAGGAAAATGCGTTCAGCTGGAATGCCGCTTATAAGCCATCGTTGACAACACAACCTGGAAACCGACAGGCGACAGACGACAGACGACTGTTTCAGAATCAGGATTTGAAATATGGAAAAGTTTTGTCTCAACTTCCCAGATAGGCAAGCGACAAGGAACGATTTTAATTACTTTGGCCCAGTCATTCATTCATTTCCACTTGTTGCCCATCAGTTAAAAGTCAAAAGAGGAAGCTCTCCAAATGGTAATTCCATTTCCATTTCGGACATTTCACGCTCGAAAGGATTTTATCCGGCACCGAACCCCACACTTACCACTGCTCCGATGTCTATCGCCTCTTGGCCATTACAACTTATTGCAACTCCTGTGGCTACTTTTAATACACTAAATTAACTTTTTCGTGGGCCCAACCTCTACCCCTCCCCGCTCGGGTGCTTGGGTGCCACCCACTCGAAAGGCAAGGACGCGTACTTTATCTGTCGGTTATCTCGCCTTTTGTTGATTAATAGCTTTGCGGTAATTAATTCGCCATGAATGATGTGCATTTGTATGGAACGAGATAGGAATGGAATATGAATGGAAAACTAAGTTCATTATTGTGGAACATCTATGTCGGAAAAGAGTTTGAAGTCTTTTTATCTGTTTAGATAGAATCTATTATGTGTTAATAAGCTATAAAAGTGTAAGTAGTCAAGATGATTGAGTAATCAGAGTACTTAAGTTAACTTTTAATGATTTTAGTGTTATAGTTTAGGCAGAAATCCTGTAATTTTACTAGTAAAATTTGACTTTTGGTTCCTCTGAAATACTTTCAGCGGCTTCTTCTACCCTTCCCTTTTGAGCCCTCACATTAACTGGAAATTATCTTATTATATCTGCCCTGACAACTAGTGTGAACTTCTGGGTTCCGGCGGCGCTAGAAACTTTATGCCCACCTACTGGTTCGGCTCTTACCAATGACTTCCGTCATCACCGGCACACTCAAAGTGTAAATTTGCATTTGCTTCTAATTAAGAGAGGGACCAAGAAATTGCCCAGACCCAGACCCAGCCTAGAGCACAGAGCGGGAGGCCCGCATCGTTGCAACGCAAGATCGCAGCATCCCGGCATCTTGGTAGCTCAGAAAACTTTGCATCTGCAAATGGAGGAGCACTTGCGGCAATTGCAATTTAGAATTTTCAATTATATTTATATTTTTATGAGGTTAGCGGCTGGGTAATGGGTGCCAGTGCCAGCTAGAGGATAGCGGGTGACGGGAAATGGAAAATGGAAAACGGAAAACACCCCTTTGGCCCGCACACACACACACACACGGAAGCACTAGAAAACTACAAATCAAGTGCCACGCACGCAAATTTCCTTTAATTAAAACCAAACTTTTAAGAGCCCCTTCTCGTCTGCATCTTCTTCACGTTGCCCCCTTGCGCTGCAGATGCATCTTCACTCGGTTACCCAACTGCAAACTACTCGGTCTCAACTTGAGCGGATCCAAGGCGACATCATCTCCGAGTGGAAGCCAAGGTGCGGGCCGCTTTTGTCGGTCGCCAGCCTCTGGTGATTACGGCCCAAAGTTTGCTCAGGTGAAGAAATACAATTAGCAAGTAATATAAGGACAATATTAATGCATATGGCTGTAGAAGATAGTGGAAGACTTTTCTGGGAATTAAAAAAAAAAAAGTATAATACTGGTATTGAGAATGCATATGTTTTCCCAAGAAATCGGTTAAATGTTTATTGTTTTCTAGATATTAATATAATCATAAAGGTCTAGAAAAATCACATAGGTTTTAGAAAGAAAAATTCACCCCTTTTAGGTTTATGAAAACCAAAGCAAAAACCCTGAAAAATCTCTTCCAAGCTTGATTTGGAAATTTTTCCAGGACAAGCATTCATCAACAAGTAAAATTCAGTTTCAGTCGTGTGTCTGCCGGAAAAGCACTTTGGTGAAAAACCCAACTGAGTAAGGATGGGGGAGTGGGTAAAGGCAAACTTCTCCGCCCCAAAGAAGCGAACCGGATGCAGTAAAAAAGTTTTCTAACCCATATTAAAACATATTTGCGCCAAAATATGCAGATGCCAGGAGAGTGCAAGGAAGTTGCCGAGCGTACTGTATGCCGTATCTCTGTGAAGGCAGGTGGCAGTGGGAGGGCTGGCAGTCAATTGCTCATTGACTTGGCTCAAAAATTGTTGAGTGTCGAGTCCTAAGTCCTAAGCCCCTGCTAACATGCCAAAGTCAAAATGCAGTTGCATCGACAATGCACAGCTAGAAAATGTGTTTAATAATTATAGATATATATTTATAAAGCCAAGAAAATTAATTTCTATAATTAAGAAATTGTGGGTTATGTTTCCCTCTGGTCAGTTGGATTTTTAGTACTTAACGCTGACTAATAAGATAGTTTCTTTGAGTGTAAAGTATGGAGTGATGGGGTGGAGCGACAGCAAAGTTCCCAGCACCAGATATGGAAGAACCGACTTCTTCTTCCTTGGCGTCCCATTTTTTCGGGTTTAGTTTCCAGTTAAGTTTACGTGAGCGTGGATTTCAAGCTGTGCGCGCACATAAGTTTGTGGCTTAAGCATGTGAAATTCATATGGATGGCAGCGCACACCCCCACTCCGCCTACTTTTTCACCCCCGAATCCCACTCACCTGCATGAGGGGCATAAAATACTGGCAGGGCTAATGCATTGCCAGCAACCCTAATAACCTTAGACATCGCGACGACGCGGGGTGCGCCGGCCCGAAAAAGTCACACAAAGTTACTAGCGCAAAAAGTTTAAAATTAAACGTAGTTGGATTCCTTGCAGGGGGTTAGGGAATCAAGAAATTTTAGGTAGGGTATATGGGGATACTTTCTAAGGGTCTAAGGGTCGGCTGCTATGTCTTAAATATAAATAATCAAGAGGGCAAGAGATCACTAAGCATGCCTCTAAATACTTCAACTAAAGCACATATTCTTACCTCTTTTTGTCTCATACGAATTTCTATAAAATTAAACTAATTTTAAAGAGTAAACTTTACCCTTAGGCAATATACATTCCTTTGAAAATATCGACACCAAAAATTCAATTACAAAAATCACATTAAATAAAGTAGAGAGAAAATTCCGTACCGTGCTGAAGCTAATTATGCTTATGTAAAGTGTTTTTTAGGCTGTAAGTCTAATGCAATATAATTTGAACAAAATTATTGAAAATTGACGGTAATTGAAATGAATTCAAACAAATTTGAGTGCTCGGCACGGGGTGTCGTGTTGAGTCCCCATCAAAGGAGTCAAAGAGCGCTGAGCGTTGCAACTTTGACACGCGACAAAGAGGTCGCCGCACGAGATTTCCCTTCCGAGCTCTACAATTTCGCGGACTCTGGCTGGCGAAGGGGTTCATTAGGCATTTTACCGAAATTACTGCACATTTTCAGGGGGAAAATTCTCTATGATTAGGCTTCAAACTAGTGGATTATTTGCAGTGGCGGAGAGTCTTTCGCTTAAAGTCAGCCAGCTTACTTGGATTAGCCGAAAGCAGTGCTAGCAAAGCTACAACTTCCACCGGATAATGTCATAAGTCCCCACTCTAAACAGCTCACTTACCCACCAGGATTGAGACCCTGCTCGACTGGAAACAAATTCAATGAAAATAAAAATAAATTAGCTGCAACTAAATGAGCCAAATAAATTCATTTAGGGCTTTATGCGCTCCACTGAAGTACACCCAGAGACGCAGTCGTCTTTCACGTCCGCCCCTCCTGGCTGGCTGACTAGTTGGCTGGCAGGGTTGCGGGCCAAGTTAAAGCCAACACGTATCGCCAAACTCGATTGCCGTGGGCGAAGCACCAAATGCAATTTCACTTCACCCCTGTTGGAGCCAAGGGTGTACAGCTTGCAGCTCGCAAGAGCAGTGGAAAAATTCCACCAGCAGGTGATTCCCCTTCGAAGCACTTATCTTTCGAGCAAGCAACGTTCGCCGTGCTCGTGTCAAATGGCGGACAACTCTGGAAATCAACGCAAACAAATAACAAAACTAAAATATTCCCTTTGTTTATGCCAATGGAGATTGTTTATCGATACATAATTCCACGAATTGGGGCGGTTCTTTGTTCATTTTAATGATTTGCATATGCTTGTGCTTGAAAATTACATCTATGATTTATGCTTTTTACATAATTATTCATTATTTGTTTACTTAAAAATTACTACTATTAAGGGAAACAATGTTAGATATTACCACAATTGTTTAACCCTAAATAATCCCTTACTTTTACACTTCTTTTGTATTTTGTGAGTCGAAGTGTAAACTGATTTCGATTTGAGAAACGTGTATCCATACTTTTTTTTAATTCAAATCAAATACATATAAATATTAGCCAGAAAACTATAAAAATTCATAAGCTAGACACGCACCTGGCGCCTGTTCGCTGACAAAGCATAAAAAACGAAAACAAACTCAAAACCGGATCGAAAGAGAAACGTTTGGTCAGCACAGAGGGAAGCCCAACCGTCTGGACCAGTGTCTGGCTGACACAAGTTGCTTCCGAATTCGGGTAAAGAACCTCAAAGATAGCAACCTCTTTTGGTGGGCGATCGACTCGTATAAATAGAGAAAGACGCTGAGGAAAGGGCTCAGTATCAACATATACTTCAAACCATCCTCATCTGCTGGATCTATCAAAGAGTATTATTTTTTAAACCAAACATGAAGTTCCTGGTAAGGAGAGCCTGTCTATTAAAACTAGGAAGAAATTAAGGACCTTTTGCATTTCAGGTGATCGTTTTTGTGGCCCTGCTTGCCTTCGCCTCGGCTCTGCCCCAATTCGGATTTGGAGGATTTGGTGGACAAGAACAACAGCAGCAGCAAGAAGGATTCAGTGGAGGCTTCGGCGGTTTTGGTGAACAGCAACAACAGCAACAGCAAGGATTCAGTGGATTCGGGGGAGGCCTCGAGCAGCAGCAGCAACAGCAGCAGGAAGGCTTTGGGGGCGGTTTCGGAGGCTTCGAGCAGCAACAGCAACAGCAGCAGGGAGGATTTTTCTAGGCTTATTTTAAATAATAATTTAAATAAAAGATAATATAATACTTTAAAACATAAACCGATACATAAGATCACTGGCCCTATGATTATTCAAAGCTAGCAAAATAAGAGAATATTATATTCAAGCTTAGACTTTTTAAACCAAGTGATGTTCAGAGCAATCTGGTTTTAGATGCTAATTCCAGAGGGAAAATTAACACTTATTAAAAATGAATTAAATAAACGTATAATGTCTCTAAGATAAAACATTCTCCAAGCCCCCTTTTAGGTAGTTTTTGTCGTCTGTAAAAAAAATATTATTATGAGAAATCAGCTTAATGCAATCATTATGACTTTTGTTTCATATTGCGGAAGTACTCAGCTTTATTAAACTAATCAGTGTCAGTTATGATTTTGCTTTGCAATGATAAATCGATCCAACAAATTCAATGCTGTAATAGAGAATTCTAGTGACGCATCAGAAATTTGTGAATAAGTATGCGAAAACTTCTACTAATTTGATTAAAGGTATGAATGAGGCAGAGATTGTGAGGTTTACTGTGGAGTAATTTAATTCAAATAAACTATTATTCAGTTTTTTTGGATTCGTAAATTAGCAAATACATAAAATCAAATTATCAAATTTTAAACGTTTGTTCTAAATATTATATTATCTCTATTAATTAAATTCATATTAAAATTAAAATAATGTTAACATAGAAATCTGGAACCCACAAGTAGCTGAACAATATATACCATCTATTATTTCTATGAGAATACGAAAGGTTTTTTTATTTCATATTTATATATTTTTTGATATAAACCCACTGTCCAACGGAAAACCTGTCTTTTCACAAAGGTTGACAACCATACTTGAGGTTTCATCAACAAAAAAAGCCCCGTCGAAAACAAATGTCTATGATCGGCGTAAGAGGGAAGTCCACGTTGTGCTCGGCCCGTGTCCAACCAGTTTCGAGTGGCTATAAGCCAAACAGAAAATTCGATAAATACTCACAATGCGTACAATAGCTTAACAGTTGACTGAAGTGTTTCAGCGAAATAAGATTGGAAAATATTCGAACTACTAAAGTACAAAATAGAAGCTAAAAATGAAATTTTTGGTAAGTTTGAACCAAAAATCAGGTGAAAGCTGCCTAGAGTTATTAATATAAATACTTAAAATCAAGCTAACAATTAATTTCTTTAGAAAACTTGACTCTTATTTCTGTATAATCATGAAAATTCATATTTTTTCTTTGATTTAACCATTAGATACTCGTCTTTGTGACCCTTGTTGCCTTGGCCTCGGCTCAGTTTGGACTCTTTGGAGAATTGGTACGGGATGTTGAGCAATTCGGACAGCAACAGCAACAGCAGCAGCAGCAACAGCAAAGCGGATTTGGAGGAGGGCAACAGGAGCAGCAACAGGAGCAGGGCGTCATCTTCAAAGGTCCTTTTGGCGGCGAAGTAGAGTTCTTCCAGGAGCAGCAGCAAGAGCAGCAAGGCGGCGGTGGCCAACAGCAACAGCAACAGCAGCAGGAAAATCTTTTTAATTTCTTTGGTTAAACTTAAAAAGCCAAGATCACTGAGAAACAGTCTGAATGCAATCCCCTAGATTTATAAAAAGCCGTGATTCCCAAATAAAAACACCATTAACCAAGGAAAGAAATTCTATTCATTATTTAAAAATTAATGTTAAACCTTTCAGAAACTTTTAGTAAATAAAAAACCAAATGAACTATGCTTTCATCTTAGGAATACATTAATTCAAAGTCACAAAGGATTTAAATACAACCCCTAAAATGTATATAAGCTTCACAAAATCAAATGAAAGTACTTAATTGATGACGGCAGGGATCAGGGAAAATTTGCCTCCTGTTTGTAAGCGAATCTCACAATGGCTTCGTGTCAAAATCGCGATGATGGCCATGGCCAAATGTTATGGGAAAAGTTTTTAAGCCAAAAATCGCAAAACTCTAATGAGTGCTATCGTTAAAATCAGGAGAAACGGGAAACGGTGGGACTTTCGGTTGCTTTATCCGAAAGCACCGAAACACCATCAAAGTCATTAAGCGGAAAACCCTTTTGGCTTCTTTTCCACGCATTTTCATTTCGCCTCGTAATGACTTCATCCCAGCCAGAGTCTTTGGGGTTTTGGTTCTGGTTTTGTTATTGGAGACAATTTCGAAGCCACCCACCAAGACAGCCAAGAACACCAGGACCACGACCAGGACCGACAGTAACAACAACACTCGTAACTACAAAACAACTTTTTAATTGCAATTAAATACGTAACAAGTTTTTAGTTGTAAGTGCGACGAGCGTCCCGTGAACACACAGAGAACTTGGCCGTGCCCCCGGACGGCTCCTCCGGACTTCTCCGGAGTGTCCATTGGTGCCGCTTATTGTTGTCGTGGCTTACCCTTATCTCTCCCCGGCTATCTGCTGCTCGGCACTCTCGTATATATGAAATTGCCATTGCAGTGTTTCGCCCTGTGTGTATATTGCAAAATTGAGTTGTGCGCTTTGGGGTTTTAATTGTTAATTGTTGGCTCAGCTTGCCGGGCAGGGCACCGTTTTTGACGTCAGCCAACTTGATGACAGTGGTCGGAGCTATGTGGTTTGGGAATGGGTCGGGTTTTCCCAAGAAAAGCGCGCCTGGGGGATTATTCTATTTGGAAGAAAAGTGGCGAGGCTGAGGCTGAGGCTGAGACACACTGCCTGATGGCGGAAGAATACGATTTTATGGATTAGGGAATCAAGTGGAAGCCCTTAATGACTTTCGGGTTAAGTGGGGAAAGCACATTTGGTGCGTATTTTAAGTCAAATCGTCAAGTTTATCGAGGCAGACGAGGCCAATCATCAGCATTTAATGCAGCAGAAGGCTTGTAAATTAATTCCAAAATATTGAATTACGAAGTTAAATTTAACTTGAAACTAGTTTACTTTAGTTAATAGGAGTCTTAATGTTTGTTGGTCTCGGGGAGTGTTGAAGATTTATTTAAGAAAAGATACGAAAAGTATACTATATAAAATGATTTAATTTTTTTTAGAGCTTTGTCTGACTTTAAATATTTAATACAATTTAATGGGTGTTATAAAAAGTATCTTACCGAATTTCTAAACTAAAAATATATTTTTATACCCTTGCAGGGTATTATAATTTCAGTCAGAAGTTTGCAACGCAGCGAAGGAGACGTTTCCGACCCTATAAAGTATATATATTCTTGATCAGCATCAACAGCCGAGTCGATCTAGCCATGTCCGTCTGTCCGTCTGTCCGTCTGTCTGTCTGTCTGTTTCTACGCAAACTAGTCCCTCAGTTTTAAAGCTATCTGAATGAAACATTGCATATAGTCTTCCATATACTCTCACTGCTATATATGTCGGAACGGGCCGGATCGGACGACTATATCATATAGCTGCCATACAAATGTTCGATATATTTGTAGAAAAAAAATTATAACTTTGCTGTTTTTCAACATTTTTGCACAATTTTTTAGATATGGCCATTCTATATTATTATAGAATTTTGGTAAAAATTTTATGAAAATCGGACGACTATATGATATAGCTGCCATAGGAACGATCGAGAAATAAATAGGAAAAAAATTATAGCTTCGTTGTTTTCCAACGTATGTTTATCTACTCTGAGATATAAGCTTTTTTTATTATTCTAGAATTATGGTATAAATTTCATAAAAATCGGACAACTATATCATATAGCTGCCATAGAAGCGATCGGTAGATGTAGAGAAAATGTAAAGCTGGGAATGTAAAACTGTAACCGTCAAACTGTAAACATAATAAGTCTAGGTAAAATGTAATGAAACTCTGTTTTGTGTGTGTTTTAAACATTTAAATTTATAATATAAATATCAAAACCAATCTGCAAGGGTATACAAACTTCGGTGTGCCGAAGTTAGCTTCCTTTCTTGTTGAAAGTGATTCCAATAAGTCAACGAGAACTAAAATCAGCCTCAAACTCCCACTTATTTAACATTCAATACACAAACTATAAATATTTATGAATCAAGTATGCTTCGCCCAAGAATATTTATTATTATTTATTATTATCAGATCAGGGTAAGCACTTACTCAGTCTGTATTATTATATTTCAACAGCATACAACTTTGCGCCCAAGGAGCATTTCAGAAACAAGGATTCAGAATGTCTTGATTTCGTTGATATGCATGCCATATAATTTGAATGCAAATTAAAATATGATGAGGCCACTGATGTTGTCGCTTAACCATTTACCTTTCCCCATCTAATGATCTTTTATAGGCACCCACCTGCCCTGGAGCCATCGCCACTTGCCAAAGCTGTCCAGGTGACCTCCAAGTGCCTGTTTTTCTTACCTGTGCTGGGATTTCTTTTCCTTTTGCGCTCACTAATTTGGCCGCAATTTACATAAAGGCCGCGCGGGCCCCAAATGTTGTTAGCTATGGTAATTTTACATACCTCCGCTTTCGTTGCTTATTTCGAGGCACCAACAACTGAAAAAGTGTAATTTCTTTCACCATTCAACTTGATTAAATTAGAGTAAGGGAATGTGCTAGAGAGGGACTGAGTACTAATGAGAGGCAGCTGCATTTTAGTGCCTGTCCGAGAATATTACCGAGATCCAGTCTCAGTTTTAGTCCCATCTCCGCTATTCGTATATATAGTGACAGATGTATGACTTGGCATTTATAGTTTTGAGTCGCAATTTTCGTTGATTTATTTATGCATGAAATGCAAACAAAATCAGAATAATTACAAACAAAACCCAACTGAACTGACAATTGGACAGACCGCCCAAACAAAGCAAGCAAGAAGAAGTATGATGTGAGCCGGAGCGACGCACAGTAGCGCCTCTCGAACAATTAGCGTTGCAAAAATCAAAAAAGTCATGTTCGCAAAAACGATTTTAACCATACTTATTCGACAGGAAATTTAACAAGGATTCAGAATCTGCAATAAAATCAATTTTAAGTTTTTTTTTGTAGAAGTTATGAGCATTTAAAGTTGAACTTTGTTTCGTTTTTTGCATCATACAAAAAAAATTTGTAAATTGGTCGACTTTCAGGTAATATTACAAAAAAACCATAAAACCAATGGTCATGGTTTTTACTTTAAATGATAGATACATTCATAAACTATTAAAGAACCTAAAAAAAACGACACTTTGGTTTGGGCTTCTACAGGTAAATCGCTACCTGCCAGGTGTCCATTTTTTTCACCTTTTTCTGCCTAAAGTAGTCTATATCTTTTGACGCCAATGCCGGCCACTGGCTACACTATGACTACAAGTTCCGTGGATCTTTCCTGGATCAGAATTAACTTTCATCGGCTGCGTCGAGCTGCGTCTGCGGAAATGCAACGCAAAAAACCAAAACAACTCAGGGTAAAATATACCAAAATACCGACACAATTTCATATATTTCCAGAAATATACTAACTGTAGCGCGTGGCGGTTACACTTCGAATTAAAAAAAATTTTTTTTCAGTTTTCAAATTATTTTTATTTGAGCAAATACATAAAAATAAACATAAAAAATTAAATAAAAATTTTTGTTTAAAAATTGTTTTCATTGAAAAAAAATTATTTTTTCACTTTGATACCCTTTAAAAAGGCGTATTTGTGGGCGTGGTACTTTATGCAGTACATATATATATTTTACAACAATTACCTGTCCAATGCCGTTTAAATTATTCGATTACCTTATTTGGTTCAAAAGATATGATTTTTGCAACGCTAAATGAGAAAAGGCGCTACTGTGCGACGTTCAACGGAGAATATTGCAATGCACACAGTCAGTCAAACAGACAGGAATACAGGCAGCGACTCTTGAGCTGTCAGATGGCAACTGTGGGGGAATATTATAATATTTGCAATCCGTAAAGAGCCATTTCCCCCATAAATTTATATGGCAAGAAGTTCGCTTAAATGGGGGCTACGGTAAAGTAAGTAGAAAGCGGCCGAGATGTGAGTGGAAAGAAATTATTCACCATCATAAGAGGATTGAAATGGGGATGTATCGTTGGGAAAATATAATTTTACAAAAGGAAATTTACATAGAAATATAATAATAACATATAATAAATTAAAATAATTTGATTGGAAACTATTTTGAAAGTCCTATATTTAAAATATTTATATTACCAAATACCATAAAAATGGCACTTAGTTGATTTATATTATTGTCTGATTATTTCTAAAACATTTTAGAAACTAAATTAACATATCTTTACTTCTAATTTTAATTAAACATCTCATCTTAATCAAGAAATTATTAAAAACTTGGCATAAATTATATAAAAAATTACAGTAATACATTATTCTTTGTTTAACAAGCCTTAATGTTTACACAAAAAGTTGTCACTAGTTTTAATATGTGATATATGTGATTAGCCCGTGATGTCCTTCGTGATATTAAAAATCCCCTCTTTTACCTAATTATGATTCCTTAATTAATTTTTGATTTATCTATGATCTAAAAAAAATGAAAGCCAAGCTAGAAACTTTATAGTAAAGAGATTAGTGCATGAATAACCGCTTACTTCATTTCCGATTAATTTTCTAAAATAAACTTTTGAGCACCCTTTGGCCCGACTAGATCTAGCCATTCCCAATATTAAGGCTCCACCCCGGAAGCAGGCTCCATCTTCCCCTTTGGCG